TTGACCAGGATGGTCTCGATCTCTTGACCTCGTGATCCACCTGCCTCGGCCTCCCAAAGTGCTGGGATTACAGGCTTGAGCCACCGCGCCCGGGCTTTCAAAGTGTGTCTCTTAAGACAGCATAGCTAGGTGTGGTGGCTCATGCCTGTAATCCCAGCACTTCGGGAGGCCAAGGCAGACAGATCGCTTGAGTCCAGGAGTTTGAGACCAGTCTGGGTGACATGGTGAAACCCTACCTCTACAAAAAAAAATACAAAAATTAGCCAGATGAGGTGGTGCATGACTGTCATCCCAGCTACTTGGGAGGCTGAGACAGGAGGATCACTTAAACCCAGGAAGCAGAGGTTGAAGTGAGCTGTGATCGTGCCACTGTACTCTAGCCTGGGCCACAGAGTGTGACCATGTTTTAGGAAAAAAAAAAAAAAAAAATCCCAAAGCTAAAACAAAACAAAATCCAGCATAGATTTGGGTCATTTTTTATTCAGTTTGATAATCTTTGCCTTTATTTATTTATTTATTTATTTATTTAGAGATGGAGTCTTGCTCTGTCGCCAGGCTGGAGTGCAGCAGAGCGTTCTCAGCTCACTGCAACCTCCACCTCCCACATTCAAACGATTCTCCTGCCTCAGCCTCCCAAGTAGCTGGGACTACAGGCGCCCACTGCCACATCTTGCAATTTTTTTTTAAGAGATGGGTTTCACCATGTTGGCCAGGATGGTCTCGGTCTCCTGACCTTGTGATCTGCCCACCTTGGCCTCCCAAAGTGCTGGGATTATAGGCATGAGCATTGTGCCCAGCCAATCTCTGCCTTTTAATTGTTTAGTCCATTTATATTTAATGTAATGATGGCTAAAACTGTGTTCAAATCTACTATCTTGCTATTTGTTTTCTATTTGTGCCACCTGTTTTCATTCTGTTCCTCCTTGCCTGCCTTCAATTAATCAAATATTTTTATTAGTCCATTTCCTCTATTTCTTTCTAGTTCTACCTCTTTGTATAATATTTTCAGTTTAGCTCTCGATGATTACAGTATGCATTCTTTTTTTTTTTTTTTTTTTT